TTTAGTCCCTTGAGCTACGGTGTGACCACCTCTTTAAACGTGTGATCCACGTAACACTCAGCTTCGCAAATGCGCCTGTGTCTCCAACCGCTGCTCAAGCTTCAAGACCTGGAGCTCCAGCTTTTGTAGTTGGGAACACTTTGTGCATGTGGTCATCTAGGACTCCCCGCAAAAGAGAAGTTACACATTCCACTTGGCTGGCCTCTCCTGACAACTCTTAAACTTACAATTAATGCCTCAGCCTAGAATTATTACTTATTTTGTTAAACTTCCTAAGCAACTTAATCTGTACGCTTTGGATGCAATTGTACTCATCTTGCTAAATATCATGCAATTGACTTTTTGATTTGACACAGTGAGGTTCCAACTTTATGTTCGTGTGAGTAATGTGCAAGCTTCACATCCTTTTCTTCATGTTTCAATTTCTGTTGTCCCTGTGGCCCTAATGATCTATGAGCCTCTTTTAGTTGATAACTCTTAACATGCCCTCTTTACCCCAAGAATGCATGACTCTGGTCATTCAATCATTATTGAACGATTCTGACTCTATGATCTTTGCTTCCAGACTTCATCATCACAGGGTACAGCATTTCTCTGGCTACTTTCTCACCTTGAAAACTAAGTCCCTGCTTTAAGCTCCCTGCTTCAGGGATCATAATCCTAACTTTTCCAACCTCTATTTGTAATTAAAGTTCCTCACCTCTGACAGAAACCTGGTCAGCATTTCCATGTTATTTTAGAACTTTCCTGAAATATGGCACACTAGATTTTTTTTCATTTAATCTATTTTCCTAATCAACCAGTTCAGAGATGTTATTACACAACTCTGCAGCAGGTAGGACTTGAACCTAGGCCTCCCAGTCCAGCAAAACCGCTGCACAACAAGAGGTCCCCTCATGCAAATTGCTGATGTAATGCTTTGTCAAGTTTCACCTGCAAAGTTTATAATGCTGTTCCACTAATACAAGTTTAGGTTGTATTTCTTTTTCCCAAGGTTCAGAAAAATTGCACGAACAATGGATCTAAAACTGACCATTGGGGAAACATGACTGCTATCCATTTCTCAATCTGAAAAACATCCATCCACCATCATTCTCACTGAGCTAATTTTGTTTCAATTTACTTATAACTGTATTGCCTTTAATATCAATCCTTTCCCCCAATCCATGGGCATCAATCTTCTTAATACGTCTCATGTGTGGTACTTTGTGACATGCTTTCCAAAATTCAGAGGATAAGCGTGTCCTTGATATGGATGTACATTGGTTCCTTAAGGTGCCAGGATACATGATTAAAGGCATATGTTTTTTTGTCGGCAAACTGTTCAGAGATGTTATTACACAGCAATAATTTGCTAACATCCTTACCTCCACATGAAAATTTCCTTTTGGGTCTTTAATAGGCACAACATTTTCCCCAGATAATCACTTACACTTTTCATCTTTATAAAATGTCATTACGCATCTCTGGAGCAGGTGGCGCCCGAACCCAGGCCTCTTGGTTCAGGGGTAGGGACAGTACTATTCCACCACAAGAACCCTCAAAAAGGCATCTGTTATACTTGCCTTTATTAGTTGACGCATAATGTTTAAGAGAAGGGAAGTTATGCTGAAACTGCATAAAACGCTGTTTAGGCCACAGACAGCATACACAGATGCGTGCAGTTCTGGTCATCACACTACCGAAAGGATGGATTGTACTGGACAGGATGCAAAGGAGATTCACCAGAATGGTGAATCTGGAATGAAAAGGCTCAGTTATGAGGAGAGAGACTGGATGGGCTGGGATTGTTTTCTTTTGAGCAGCGGAGTTTGAGAGGGGATATGATTGAGATGTATGAAATTATGAGGTACGTAGATAGGGTAGACAGGAAGAAACTTTTCCCTTTGGTGGAGAGTCAATGACCAAGGGTCATGGATTTAAGGTAAGGGCAGAAGATTGAGGAGATGAGGAAAAGCATTTTCACCTAGATGGTGGTGGGAATCTGTAACTCTCTGCCTGTCAGAGTGGTAGAGGGAGAAACTCTCACAACATTTAAGTATTTAGATGTGTACTTGCGATGCCGTAGCAGGCTATGGGCTAAATGCTGGAAAATGGGCTTACAATGGAGCTATGATGTTGCGGCCATTACGGAGACGTGGATAACACAGGGGCAGGAATGGCTGCTGGATGTTCTGGGGTTTAAATGTTTCAAAAGAAATAGCAAGGGAGGTAAAAGAGGTGAGGGAGTGGCATTGCTAATCAGCGATGGTATCACAGCTGCAGAAAGAGAGGTTGTCGAGGAGGGTTTGTCTACTGAGTCTGTACGGGTGGAGGTCAGAAACAGGAAAGGAGCTGTCACTTTATTGGGAGTTTTGTATTGACCCCCCAATAGCAACAGAAACACTGAGGAACAGATTGGGAGGCAGATTTTGGAAAGGTGCCGAAGTAATAGGGTTGTTGTCATGGGTGACTTCAACTTTCCTAATAGCGAATGGAACCTTCTAATTTCAAATAGTTTGGATGGAGCAGATTATGTCAGGTATGTCCAAGAAGGATTTCCTGACTCAACATGCAGATAGGCCAACTAGAGGGGAGGCCATATTGGATTTAATGCTTGGCCAGGTGTCAGATCCCTAGATGGGAGAGCATTTCAGTGATAGTGATCACAACTTCCTGACCTTTATTATAGTCATGGAGAGGGATAGGAGCAGACGGTAAGGGAAAGTACTTAGTTGGGCGAGGGGGAATTACAATGCCATTAGGCAAGAACTGCGGAGCATAAATTGGGAACAGATGTTCTCAGGGAAATGCACAACAGAGGCTAGAGGGAGGCAATGGCCTAGTGGTATTATTGCTAGACTGCTAATCCAGAGACCCAGATAACGTTCTGGGGACCCGGATTTGAAACCTGCCATGGCAGATGGTGGAATTTGAATTCAATAAGTATCTGGAATTAGGAATCTAATGATGACCGTGAATCCATTGTCGATTGTCAGGAAAAACCCACCTGATTCACTAATGTCCTTTAGGGAAGGAAACTGCCATCCTTACCTGGTTTGGCCTACATGTGACTCCAGACCCACAGCAATGTGGTTGACTCTGGGCAAATAGGGATGGGCAATAAATGCTGCCTAGCCAGCGATGCCTTCATTCACGGGAGGTTGTTTGGGTGCACTTGCCACGAGTGCTGGATAGGTTTGTCCCATTGAGGCAAGGAAGGGATGGTAAGGTGAAGGAACCTTGGATGACAAGGCATGTGGAACATCTAGTGAGGAAAAAGGAAGCTTACTTAAGGTTGAGGATGCAAGGATCGGACAAGGCTCTACAGGGTTACAAGGTAGCCAGGAAAGGACTGAAGAATGGACTTAGGAGAGCTAGAAGGGAGCATGAAAAAGCCTTGGCCGGTAGGATTAACGAAAACCCCAACGTGTTCTATACTTACGTGAGGAACGAGAGGATGGTCAGCGTGAGGGTAGGGCCAATCAAGGATAGTGGAGGGAACTTGTGCATGGAGTCGGAAGTAGTGGGGAGGTCCTTAATGAATACTTTGCTTCAGTATTCACCAGTGAGAGGGACAATGATGTTTGAGGACAGCGTGAAACAGGCTGATATGCTCGAACAGGTTGATGTTAGGAAGGAGGGTATGCTAGAAATTTTGAAAAACATGAGGATAGATAAGTCCCCTGGGCCAGACGGGATATATCCAAGCTTACTCAGGGAAGCAAGGAAGAGATTGCTGCACCTTTGGCGATTATCCTCACTGTCCACTGGAGTAGTACCAGATGATTGGAGGGTGGCAAATGTTATTCCCTTGTTCAAGAAAGGGGATATGGAGAATCCTGGGAATTACAGACCAGTCAGTCTTACTTCTGTGGTGGGCAAATTATTGGAGAGGATTCTGAGAGATAGTATTTATGATTATTTGGAAAAGCACAGTTTGATTAGAAATAGTCAGCATGGCTTTGAGAGGGGCAGGTCATGCCTCGCCTCATAAGCCTTAGTGAATTCTTTGAGGATGTGACAAAACACATTGATGAAGGTAAATCAGTGGATGTGGTGTATTTCAATTATAGCAAGGCATCTGATAAGGTTCCCCATGGTTGGCTCATTCAGAAAGGAAGGAGGCATGGGATCCAGGGAAATTTGGCTGTCTGGATACAAAACTGGCTGTCCAATAGAAGACAGAGGGTGGTAGTAGATGGAAAGTATTCAGCCTGGAGCTCGGTGACCAGTGGTGTTCCGCAGGGATCTGTTTTGGAACCTCTGCTCTTTATGATCTTTATAAATGACTTGAATGAGGAAGTGGAAAGGTGGCTTAGTAAGTTTGCTGGTGACACGAAGGTCGGTGGAGGTGTGGATAGCATAGAGGGCTGTTGCAGGTTGCAACGGGACGTTGACAGGATGCAAAGCTGGGCAAAGAAGTGGCAGATGGAATTCAACCCGGAAAAGTGTGAAGTGATTCATTTTGGAAGGTTGCATTTGAATGCAGAATACAGGGCTAATGGCAGGATTCTTGGCAGTGTGGAGGAACAGAGGGATCTTGGGGTCCACGTCCACAGATCCTTCAAAGTTGCCACCCAAGTTGATAGGGTTGTTATGAAGGCATATGGTGAGTTGGCTTTCATTGGCAGGGGAATTGAGTTTAAGAGCTGTGAGGTTATGCTGCAGCTGTATAAAACCCTGGTTAGACCACAGTTGTAATATGGTGTTCAGTTCTGGTCACCTCATTATAGGAAGGATGTGGAAGCTTTAGAGAGGGTGTAGAGGAGATTTACCAGGATGCTGCCTGGATTGTGGGAGCAAACTGGAGCACCTGGAGGAAACCCATGCAGACACAGAGAATGTGCAAACACCACACAGACAGTCAAGCAAAGGTGGGATCAAACCCAGGTCCCTGGTGCTGTGAGGCAGCAGTGCTAACCATGTTTGTAAACTAAAAGTAAGGTGGCTGCTACTTACTGCCTCAGAAAATGAAATATTTCTGGAATAAAAATGAAACAGGAAAGAAAGAAAACAGCTAACTTTAAAGTGGCTTTCTTTAATGAGGACTCAGGAAAAAGATATACGTGTCATCAGTACTGAGCACCATTGGCATAAAATGCATTATAAATCTGAACATTATTCTTAAATATATAAAGAACGAGGAATGTCAATTAACTCCATATTCAATCTCCAAATAACACATATCCTGGTTCTAATAAAGCAAAACTGACGCAAGACACACATTGCCGAATACAATGAGCTCGTCCTGAAATGAAGTCCATTACTGATTAATGTCACACACAGCCCATCAATTTCATCCTCTTGGCATAATACATAATACAGTACTTATGACCTAAAAACGACTGTATGAATGGGATGCAGAAAAGAAAATTATGCTCTGAAAGTGTCACATCCTGCAAAGAAGACAATTATTTCTGGAAATTGTCTCTTCTTAAATGACATTCTAACCTCAGTAATTTAAGATGTATAGGGCTGCCTTGATGAAGTTCTTCACATGTATCTGTTTCTAATGTATTCTCTGTAGACAATTATGTCATCCTTGCACATAGGTTGTATAATGCCTTTGCCGGTCTGGATATGGGAATCAAAGATTTCCTTTGATTTTCTGTCCAGGTCAGCCAGATGCATCTCATAAATACTGTCTTGAAGAAATAAGGAGACTGCTTCCCTGAAAAAGAAACAAAACGTAATCAATGGCAGCTAGTCTCGGCGATGACACTCTGCCTTCCAGTGATGAGTTCAAGCCAGATTCTGGATTCAGTATCGAACTTGGCTACAGTTCCCTGGGGAAAGCAGTAACAGCCAAATCTGTTAAACCACAGTTAGCTCTACTGCACAGGAAAGGAAGCAAGGCTTGGAAATACAATGGTTATAAGGGATTCAACTGAAATGGGAATAGATAGGCCGCAAATGAGATACAGGACATTATGCTCTCCTTGGTGCTAGGTTAAGGATATCTGGGAATGACTACAGGCCAATCTGGTGGTGGAAAGTGAAAAAGCAGCGGTCGTGGTACACATTGGTACCAATGGCAATTACAAAAAAGGATGCAGACTGAAAGCCAAACAAAGGGCATTTGGAAGTTGAAAAGTAGGATCGCAAAGGTCATATCTCTGGGTCACGTGCCATCTGCTAGTCAGGATAGCCATGATGTCAAGGTGCCGGTGTTGAACTGGGGTGGGCAAGGTCAGAAGTTGCACGATACCAGATTATAGCCCAACAAGTTTATTTGAAATCTCAAACTTTGGGGCTGCTGCTCCTTCGTCAGGTGAAGTGAAGAGAAGCACATAGACCAGAATTTAAAGGCAGAGAGATCAAAAGATTGTACAAATGGTGTAAATGGAGTGTCGACAGGCTGAATAACAAGTCTCTGTAGGTGATCAAAAGTGTCAGATGCTGTGAGTAAAGCGCAAACAGTTGACTAGCGAGTGAAGGGATGGCTTATCTGATTAATTGAGGTAGACATAATTACAAAAAAATATAAATAAGATGGTGCTGGAGACAAAGCAAACGGCTGGAATAACATGATAGGTATAAGGGTCACAGGTCGAAGGTCTAGTCAAAGCAGCAAGTAATCCAAAAGTGCATGAACTAATTAAGGTGGAGAGATCATAACAAGTTATCAAGGTGATGGTGTCAAAACAGGACAGTAAGGGAGATTTTACAAGTACAGGACAGTATGGTGGGGTTACATGTAGAGTGAAATGAACCCAAGATCACAGTTGAGGTCATCTTCATGAGTACGGAACTTGGCTATCAGTTCTGCTTGGCGATTCTGCGTTGTTGTCTATCTTGAAGGTTGCCTCGGAGGACGCTTACCCGAAAATCAGAGGCTGAATGTCCTCGACCGCTGAAGCGTTCCCTGACTGGGAGGGAACATTCCTGCCTGGCAATTTTTGCGATGTCCATTCATCCACTGCCGTAGCATCTGCATGGTCTCGTTAACATACCATGACTCAGGGCATTCTTGCCTGCAGCGTATGAGGTAGGCAACATTGACCCAGTCACGAATATCTGCTGTGTACGTGGTGGGTGGCATTCCCACACGTGATGGTAGTATCCATGTCGATGATCTGGCATGTCTTTCAGAGGTTGCCATGGCAGGGTTGTATGGTGTTGTGGTTGATGTTGTCCTGAAGACTGGGTAATTTGCTGCAAACGATGGTCTGTCTAAGGTTTGGTGGTTGTTGAAGGCAAGAAGTGGAGGCATAGGGAAGATCTTGGCGAGAAATTCTTAGTCATCGATGACATGTTGACGGCTGCGAGTAACATGGCATAGTTTCTCTGCTCTGGGGAAGTACTGGGCAATGAAGGATACACTATTGGTCGTGTCCTGTGTCTCACTTCTGAGGAAGTTATTGCGGTTTTTTGCTGTGGCACGTCGGAACTGGCAATCAATGAGTTGAGCATCATATCCCGTTCTTTCAGCATCCGTTTCTTTCCTCCTCATCTAAGCAGATCTTGTGTATATGCAGGGCTTGTCTGTAGGGAATTGCTTCTTTAACATGTTCAGCGTAGAAACTAGAGAAGTGCATCATCGTGAGGTCATCCATGGGCTTGTGAGGTACTGAGGAGTCTGTCCTTGATGGAGATGCGTTTGCCCAAGAATGAGACAGATTCTGAACAGTAGTCCATGGTAAGTCTGATGGTGGGATGAAATTTGTTGATATCGTTGTGTTGTTGTTTCAGCGATTCCTCGCCATGAGCCCAAAGGAAGAAAATGTCGATATATCTGGTGTACAGCATTGTTTGGAGGTCCTGTGCAACAAAGAAGACTTGCTCAAACTTGTGCAAGAAAAGGTTGGTGTATGGGGTGCAAATTTGGTCCCCATGACTGTTCCGTGTGTCTGGACGAAGAGCTGTCTGTTGAAGGTGAAGACGTTGGTGAAGACGTTGCTGAAGACGAAGTGAATGAATTGTAGGACAGTGTCTGGAAATTGGCAGTTGTTGCCAGTTGAGGCTGTTGCAGCAAGGCCATGGTGGGTGCTAATGTAGAGTTTTGAAATGTCTATTGAAATAGACTGGGTGCTGAGGTTCCCGTAAGAAGTCTAAAGTGTCGCAATAGCAGTTGGGGGTTCCCTGTACAATGGGTTTCAAGATGCCCTCAACATAGCCAGAGGTTCTCACACAGGGTCCTATTGCCTGATATGATAGGATATTCAGGTGTGTTGGCTTAGTGTATCTTCAGAAGACAGCAGAAGTCTCCTTTGCAAAAAGTGCATGGGATAAGAGTGCACAGGATAGTCTGAAAGTCTGAATCAAAAGTCTTAATCAGTTTGTTGAGTTGACGGGTGAGTTCTTTGGTCAGATCGGCAGGTAGTTGTCTGTAGCGTTCCTGGTTATTCAGTTGTCGGTATGCTTCCTTGCAGTAGTCAGTTCTATTCTGTATGACGATGGCTCCTCCTTTGTCTGCTGGTTTGATGGCGATGTTGCAGTTGGTCTTGAGAGTATAGATGGTGCTGCGTTTTGCTTGCGTGATGTTCTGCGCTATTATGGGAGTGTGGCTGAAGAATCCAGTGACGACACATCTCCTGACGGCTTGAGCATACATAGAGCCTAGGGCAGCGGCCTTCCGGAGAGGTCCAATTCGACACTGTTCTTTGGTCACTGCACTGCGGATCTCTCTGTTGATTGTTCCAGTCCTTTCGTTGTCTCGTTGGGCTCACTGCTGACATCTTGGCGTTTGTGGAAGAATCCCCGGATCCTCATTAGCTTGATGAATTCCTCTGTCTGCCATGAGACCAATGGGGTCCATTTTGGTAGTGGGGCAGAAATTGAGCTTTTGGCTGAGAACTTCGATTTCATCTGGTTGAAGGGTGAGGTCAGACAAGTTGATGATGGACTTCCCTGTAATGATACCAGTTTCAACTGTGGTATCAGGGAGACTTGCTAGTCCTGGTGGTGATGCTAAGTTTCTCAAGTTTCCTGTTCTTGGTATGCAGGTAGGTGGCGTAGTTCCATTGCCATGTCTGCTTGGCAGTGTCTCGCAGCTGGTCCGCTGTGTCCTGCACGCAAGCTGTGAATATGGACTCTATCTCGATTTCAAGGTTGCTGCATCTGCTGTAGAGTGGGTGTACAAGATGATTGAGCAGTGTGCGAGACGTGTGATTGCAGAGTCTCTCAGCGTAGCCTATGTTGCAGGTCAATTTGAGTGGGTTTGTGATCTGTAGACCTTTTAGGATCTTCACTGCTTTCTTGCATCTCTGCAGAAATGTGATGTCGGTGTTGATCTTCTTGAAGATCCTCTCCACTTTGAGCTGGCAGTTTGTGGTGTTGATGGTAGCCCTGATGTAGAGGTGCCGGTGTTGGACTGGGGTGGATAACGTCAGAAATCGCAAGACACCAGGTTATAACCCAACAGTTTTATTTGAAATCACAAACTTCTGGCCTAGTCAGGATAGGAATAACACGATGTATCAGATGAATGTGTGGCTGAAAAGATGGAGCAAGAGAGAAGATTTTCAGGTTCCTGGGACACCAGGACCAGCTTTGGATAGGACTGGGACTGATATCTTAGGCACAGTGAGGGTGCTTGAGGTGGGACAAGGAAAGCAAGACAAGGAAAGGGATAAAAGAAAGAACAGTAAATTGAAAGAACAATAAATTGAAAGAACAGTCGACAGGGTAATCAAGGGTAAGCAGAAAAATAGGGCCAGAGTACAAAGGAAAGTGAGGATGATTAAATGTCAGAAAGGTAAACTTTAAGGCTTTGTATCATAATGCGCAAGCATTCAGAATAAGATAGTGAAGTGATGGTGCAAATAAAAGTAAAGAATATGATCTCATAGCCATTATGAAGACATGATTACAAGGAGATCAAAACTGGGAACTGGGAACATTCAGGGATATTTGACCTTTCAAAAAGATGGGATAGGAGGAAAACATAGTGGTGTAACACTGCTAATAAAAGATGAAATGAGAAGAGTTGTAAGAGGGATGATCTAAACTTAGATGATGTAGAATTCACTTAATCGTGGTAAAAAAAACACAGGAAAAAAGACAAAGACATTGTCTTGTGTATAGTCCTCCAAACAGTAGCCACACTGTAAGAAATGATATAAACCAACAAATATCAGCAGGTAGAAAGAATGTAGCAATAATTATGGGTGAACTTGATCTTTATGTTGATTGGGTTAATCAAGTTGCAAAGGGTAAGCTAAACAACAAAATCAGAGATAACAAGGTGTAGAGCTGGATGAACACAGCAGGCGAAGCAGCATCAGGGGAGCAGGAAGGCTGACGCTTCGGGCCTAGACCCTTCTTCAGAAAAAATTTT